AATGACCAGCGGTTATCCTGTCTATGCGCTACATGCCCGGCCCATGTCCATTTCTTCTTCTTGATTTCAACTATGATATCCTTAACCCCCGTTTGTTTCCCAATCCACTCTGCTCTCTTCTTGTCTCTTAAGGTTACGCGTACCATTTTTCTTTCCATTGCTCGCTGCGTCATCCTCAATTTAAGCTGAACCCTCTTTGTAAGTCTCCAGGTTTCAGCTCCGTAGCTAAGTACCAGCAGGATACAGCTGTTATATATCTTCCTCTTGAGGGATAGTGGCAATCTACCTGTCATAATTTGAGTGTGCTTGCCAAATGTGCTCCACCCCATTCTTATTCTTCTAGTTACTTCAATCTCGTGGTTCGGCTCCGCAGTTATCACCTGCCATAAGTAGACATAGTCTTTTACAACTTGGAGTGCACTAGTAATACCTATCTCGAAGCGCTGCTCTCTTCCGAGGTTGTTTTACATTACTTCCGTTTTCTGCAGATTTATTTAAAGACCCACCTTTCTGCTCTCCTTGTCTAACTCTGTTAGCATGAGTTGCAATTTGTCCCCCGAGTTACTCAGCAATGCAATGTCATCGGCGAAGTGCAGGTTACTAAGGTACTCTCCATTAACTCTTATCTCTAACTGTTCCCATGCTAGGCTTCTGAAAAGCTCCTGTAAGAGCGCGGTAAACAGCATTGGGAAGATTTTGTCCCCCTGCCATACACCCTTCTTGATGGTTATTCTGTCGCTTTCTTTATGAAGCACTATGGTAGCAGTTGATCCCCTCCAGATTTCTTCCAGGATGTTTATATATACTTCATCGACACCCTGATTCCGCAGTGTCTGCATGAGGGCTGATATTTCTACTGAATCAAACGCCTTCTCGTAATCTATGAAGGCTATGTAGAGTGGTTGGTTATTTTCTGAGCATTATTTCTCTATTACCTGATTGATAGTATGAATGTGGTCGATTGTTAAGTAGCCTGTTCGAAATCCTGCTTGTTCCATGTTGACTGAATTCTGATGTTTTCTTTACTCTGGTAGCAATTACCTTAGAAAATAGCTTGTATACTACAGAGAGCAAGCTGATCAGCCTTCAAGTCCTTGTCTTCAAGTCCTTGACTTCAAGTCCTTGAAGTTCTAATTGAAGAGTCCTAATTCTTCAAGTCCTTGTCATTTCCTTTCTTATGTATTAAGATGATGTTAGCATTTTTCCAAGACTCTGGTACTCTTCCCGTCAGGAGACACCTCGTAAACAGGGTGGCTAGTTTTTCTAACACAATCTGTCCTCCATCTTTCAGCAGATCTGATGTTACCTGATCCTCACCAGAAGCTTTGCCTCTTTGCATGCTCTCCAAAGCTTTTCTGACTTCTTCTTTCATTACTGGTGGGGTGTCATCTTAGTTATTGCTAGTACTTATAGTATTAAGGTCGTGGTTCCCGGCTACTGTACAGATCTCTGTAAAACTACTCCGCCATTTTAACTATCCTGTCCATATTGGTAGTTATTATGCCTTCTTTGTCCCTTAGTGCATAAATCCAATTTTTGCCTATCCCAAGTTTTCTGTTCACTGCTTGAACGGTTCCTCCGTTTTTCCTCTTAGCACCCTCTGCATCACAGCAGAGAGTGCTAAGAATATCTGGATCCGGACAGGCCTCCATTGGAACCTGAACTTGGCAACGCTTAACGCTAGAACCTTATCTAGTGAGGGAAGTCTAGCTGTACTATTCGAGGAGCTAGAGGGTGTTGAATGGGATATAATAGGGCTCAGTGAGGTTAGGAGGATAGAAGAGGCCTATATGGTGCTACAAAATGGGCACGTTCTTTGCTATCAGGGCTTGGCTGACAGAAGAGAACGTTTCTAATTCACAGAAACATAGCTGGCAACATAGAGGAATACTATAGCATTAATGAAAGGGTGGTAGGTATCGTAATAAAACTGAATAAGAGATACAGGATGAAGGTGGTACAGGCTTACGTGCCTACATCTAACCATAATGACGCTTCAGTTGAAAGCTTCTATGAAGACGTGGCATTGGCAATGAGTAAGGTAAAAACACAGTATACTAAACTGATGGGAGACTTTAATGCAAATGTAGGGAAGAAGCAGGCTGGAGACGAGGCAGTCGGAGATTATGGCATCGGCACTAGAAACGCCAGAGGAGAGCTACTAGTAGATTCGCAGAACGCAATAATTTACAGATTTTGAATATCTTCTACCCAAAAAAGAGGAGACCGGAAGTGGACATGGAGGAGCCCTAAATGGAGAAAATAGGAAAGAAATAGATTTTATAATGAGTGCACACCCAGGCATCGTGCAGGATGTGGAAGTGGTTGGCAAGGTACGAGGCAGCGACCATAGAATGGTACAGTCTCGAATTCACCTAGACTTGACGAAGGAACGAAAGAAACTGATACGCTAGAAGCCAATCAATGAGCTAGCACTTAGAGGTAAAGTACAGAAATTCAGAGTATCGCTTCAGAACAGGTACTCGGCTCTTAGTGAGGAGACCAACCTTAGCACAGATACAATGAATGATAATCTGACGAGTATCATTACAGAGTGTGCAGTGGAAGTTGAAGGCAGGGTAGTTAGACAGGACACTGGCAAGCTTTCCCAGCAAAAGAAGAATCTCATCAAGAAGCGTCAAATATGAAAGTCTCAAGTACAACAGACAAAATAGAACTGGCAGAATTTTTGAAGTTGATTAATAAGCATAAGGTATGCAATGTAAGAAGGTATAACATGGAGAGAATTGAACATGCTCTGAAAAACAGAGGAAGCGTCCAAGCAGTGTTTATGGTTATCTGAGGCCAAATTGTATTTGCCTTTGTGTGTTTTTCTCGCACGGCAAATTATTCCATCTTTGGTAAGTATCTCCACATCCACGATTGTTGTAACTTTAGTGGCACAAAATTCTGTCAAAATTTTAGAATATAATTGGTTTGCGTTTTTTTTTTTTAGCCTGGAGGGTTCTAAGCGAGTCCAATGTGCTTGACTGCAGCATGGTATTGTGTTGTGTGGTTCCCCTTGCTGTTGTTGATCATTGTGTTGTGGTTTGGGAGTTGGTTACAAGTTCGCAGCTGGAGGGTCCAAGCCAGGCCATCGTCCTCGTCACCAGCCATTCTCTTCCTGCCCAGCGGTTGGGAGCACTGGCCAGCTGAGATTTTACGGGCGGCGGAGGAGCTGTTACGTTTGGCCCGGCAATTTGTCTGGGCAGACGCCATTGTGCGTAAGCTGGTCTATTGGGGAGGCTTTCAACCCCATTGGCGCCATCTCTGCAAGACGCTGTCAGGTAGGTGTTCCGGGAAGCAGTCAGGTCTCAACGAAAGATTTGCAAGGCAAACCTTTTGTTGTACGGGCTCGTACAGCAGGGGAAGGGCGCCACTGTGGCGGGCCTCCTTAAGACCCGGCTTTTGTCATCTATGCGAGGCTATTTCAGCACACCGACAGCCCGGAACGCGTCGAAGAAGCCGTTCACCGGAATCGAGCGTTTGGACTGCCTGAAGCTGAAAGCAACGTGGACCGCTGCTGACGGTCGGGTTAGCAGCCATCTCCCCGGAGGAGCTCAACTTTCCCTCTTTGGACTCTACCTCTTCGCCCTGTGGTGCCTTCAAGGAGTGGGCCAAGTGCGTGTTTGCGTGGTGCTTTCCTGTTACCATTGGACCGTTTCGCCCAGCCGAGTGGTGCAATATCTGCACCATTCCCGGTGGGTGGACCACAAAGACTTCGTCCCTTGCTTTCTGGCAAGAGTGATCAGCGCCTCCTTTTGACGGCGGTGACAATGGGCTATAAAAGTCGAAGCATTTTTGTGAATAGTGCTGAATCTTTTTCTGAATCTCGTGCACGGAATCTTGTACGAAATCATGTGCTGAATCTTTTTCTGAATCTCTGTTGTACATATTGTGGGATCTTCTGGATCCCTGTACAGTTCCTTCCCTTTTTCAATAATGCGAATAAATCTTTCGTTCTATTTCAATATGAACGCGTCTCCTCACTGGCGAAGATCAGCTATGCGGGCGATGGCGAGTGCCAGCTACCCTAAAGAGAAGCCCGCCGTTCCTGCCATCAACTTCTCTACCCTTTACAGTGCCACCACCAACTCATCTTAGCAAAGCGTTGGAAACACTCACCTTTTTATGCAAGCGTTGCTTGGTCAGCGCAACCTGATAAGTGCTACGATCCTTAAAATTACTTATGTATGCCTTTTCTAGTAAAAGATGCACATGCAGAATATATACGTGTTTTGTGGTGCCCCAGACATGCACAATAATCACTTTTTAATTGACAATTTCACAAGTATGAACGCTGAATCTTGAGCAACATTAGTTGGCGCTGCGAATGGGGTTGGCCGTTTCAAGTACCCAATGCCGTTAAGAGTGCACAAACAGACAAACGTATAGACAGACAGACCAAAATTTTCGCGTCTAAGGTCCCCAAGAAAGACTATCGTCTTTAAAATGACAGCACATCCACTGAGTGAATGATGATGAGTGGGCTGAAGTACTGTAGGGTTTTATCGCTAAACTGTGAACCATCCGCAAATATAAGCCACTACATTGTCAAAGATGTGACAAACACTGTATATATTTTTACAAAAAAATTTATTATTGGTAGGTGGTAGCTATACGTCGCTTCGATACTCCTTTCAATAAAACTACTTTATGGTCGGTGAAGTGATAGTATCAGTGATGGGGCGTCGCAGGATGTTTGTGAGGACGAAGTAGTGGGCAGTTTGCAAAGGTAGAACTATAGGCGGTCACGTAAAAACAAGGAATGGACACAGCGGGAAAATCTATGGATACAAGTACACGACTATCTTGCATTTGATATTGGCTACTTCTCAACAGTATTGGCTATATGGTCGCTGAAATGGTGAATCAATGATGGGGTGTAGTGGGATGTTTTCGAGGTAGCTACATACACCAACGGAAGGACAGACACCCTAAGGAGCTTCGCCCCTAAAAATAAGTGCAAAGAAAAGTTTGGTTGTTCAAGCGGGCCTCACCTCCAGCCATTAGGTTGACGGTTTCCAGTACCTGCAACGCCCTCAGCTGCTTCATGACCACAGTGCGTTCAAAGTGACCGGCTTGCTCGTGCTTGTTGGCCTACATCAGCAAGAGAATGACGACCCAGATGGTCTAGACTGAAAGGTTGGCCATAGATTGGAGATATCGTCTTGGCACTCAATTTACGGCAACTTCTAATTGTGTGAGGGCATGCAAGCTTGAACAGGCTAAATAAAGAAAAATATTCCTGCACTTCGTTAGACGGCATGTTTAAGCTATCTGAATGCAGCCTTCAACCGGAAGAGAACATTTAACTTTTTACATTGCGCATGGCAAGTTTACAAGAACAAGTATTAGCTTCGCTATTGAATCAGCTATCGTATTTTTGCAAATTTCATCAGGGCAGTTAACTCAACGAGTTGGTCTTATGAGTTCCCAGCATTTGAAAGAAACAGGAAAAACAAAACAGAACATGGATACATAAAATGATGTAAGAACTGTGAGAACGCTGGTTTTGAACAAATTTTACTGCACAGAAGGAGCAAGCTTTCGTAAGAATTACAACGCACCACCTCAGAAAGGGTGGCCGCCAAGTGTGGTGTTCGTGCTCTCTTCGGCACAAAAGCTGTTGTGAAGAACTGCTAGCGCAGAGGTACCACGTGCACAAAAAAAAAAAAAAGACGGCGCATTTAAGTGCTTTGTAGCAAATTTCGTCGAAAGATGATAGTCTTCAACCAGCCAAGCGGCCATTTATGTGTTTTTTTTCCAATCAATCTATTTCCTTTTGATAGGAGAAGTACAGAACTAGAAGCTCAACAGCTTGATAAAGTCCCGACTTCGTTACAAGTTGGCAAAGCAGCAGGATGACAAACAATCATGCATAAATAATACGGATCTAACAGACAACCATGCCTAGAAAAGTATAGGGCATGTCATTGGAAGTAATTGTATTGTGAAGAAAAAAAAGTGGATAACTTGCAGAGGGCAGGATCGAAACTGTGACCTCAGAATAAATAAACACAATGGTTATCCCCTGTTTACTTTATAGGGTATATGTGTGCGTCAAACATGGGAACGTCACTCAGGGCCATCTGTAGCCATGGCGGTGAATGCGGTTTATGGGATAAAAACTGCTCCACACTCACCGCCATAAACAGTGCTTCACACTCACCGTCAGGACTACAGATGGTGCTGACTGACGCACCCACATTTGATGCATACATATACCCAATAAGGTAGACGGAGGAATATCCGCCGCGGTAGCTTAGTTGCTAGAGCATTGGACACGTTATTCGAAGGTAGCAGGTTTGGTCCCTGCCCTCAGCAATTTATTTTTTCTTTCTTTACGTGTACATTACGATTACTTCTAACATTCCCTATACTTTCCTTGGCATGTTTGTCTGTTAAATCTTATTAATATTGCATCTAACAAAAAAAACGAGCCCTTAGCTATACTTCACTTTCCTTCACACTAAACTTTAGACATTTAACATTGTATTAAATAATAAAAAGATTATGAAAGAAAGCACTAGTCATGGTGGTCTGACCATGACTAATTTAAACCAATTTAAAAAATGCAGAAGTATATCAGTCCCATTTTACTAACATGCACTTTGTCTTACAGAAATTGGTAAACGCCTACATTATCTGCCACTGCCCACAAACGCAAGCTCCTCATCGAACAGGTGCTCAGATGGTTACGAGCTGAGAGTTTACAAAAAGACACAAAAATTAGCGCTCGCTATCGAATAACAAAAACAGCTAGTAAGTGCTAATCTGTCAGCTCGCGACAATGTGACCACATTTCCTAGCACATGTCTACTTAGCGCATATGGATTGAAGGACAATGCAAAACAATAATAGCCAGTTGCAAGTTTGTGCCTGTCCCTGTTCCTTCTTACAGCACCCCTGCCTTTTTTTTTGCATACCAGTTTTATCTGGAAGTATGAGCCATCTTGCCAAGATACAAGCTTAATTGAACTCAGAAATGTTGTTGGTCTCTCATCTTTTTATTTATCCGTGATTTTTTTATTTATTTCTCTTAATTAAGTGAGGAAATGCCTCAATCATAAAATCAGCAAGCAACTAAAAGCGAGCACACAAGGTCTGTGCTAGTGGCCTCGCGAGATATGGGACTCTCACAGGTAGCACTTGTGTGTAATACAAACGCAGAGGGAATATATGTGATTTATTGCTTGAAAATGCACCAAAAGATGGTCACAATAGAAACGCGATACACACAGGACGACGCGCAACTAACAGTCGAAATTTTTTTATTTAAGATGCACGTTTAAAGCACACAATTCCAGTAACCCCCTGCAATGATGACCGATAACCTAAAGCAGCATGTCATCTGCTAGATAGGGTGTCTACGACACATGCTTGCGGATGACGTGGTTCTTGTGGAGGTGCCAACACCCCCTGTAAAGTAGTTTGCACCTCGTGGCGCACGTGTTTCGCGCATTGGTCTCATTTTGGGTTCACAACTACCCAGCAGTAGGTGGTGTTGTATTCGCAAGTGTGTTTTCACCGCTATCATCATCATGATCATGGTTAGATCGGTAGCGCCGGTGGTGATGCCTGGCTAAAAGATGCTTTGGTGATGGTGCGGGAGAGATAACCTGTTTTTGGCGCGTGGCAGTCAACTCGGACGGTTGTCTCTTGCGTGGGTCCCCGGTGCACGGCACCATGGGCCATCTGCCTTTGTGGTAAATCGATTGCCGTTGGCACTGCCGCCTTGTGTTTGTTATGCTGTTGAGTTTTGCGTGATTATGTGTAAGGTTGTTTTGGCGTGTTGATTAGAATTCATGTTGTAATTATTCGGATGACGATATCGTTGTTCTAATGGTAGTTAAATAAATGTGTGTTGTTTGGTTTGGTCCAACTGTGTCTACTGTGTCCGTTCACTCCAAGAGCCTGGCCCTCGCCGCATCAGACCCCACATGCTTCAGGTAACTGCCTCTTATCGGTCGTCATGGCGGGTGATTACTGGGATTGCGTTCTTTAAATGTGCGTTGTTAATATAAAAAATTAGACCACCTCCCAGTAAAGGGACATACGAGTGCTGCTTCACATGCTACTTGCATGTTCCTTGGCGGATCTGCACAGCTATGTTCGGTTTCCCTATTTAAGCGATGCTCTACAGTAACAAAAAAAAAAAAAAACACTTCACAACTTGCGCTCGACCTGTTTAGGTGTTCTTTTGTTGTGGTGTCATTTCTTTTTTAGCACAATTTTGTGCTGTATATTCGATCAACTCACAAATCCACGGAGGAACGTCACACGCACCCGTATGCAGCGCACAAAGTGCGGCTTGGCGTGCACCAATGTCCGAAGCAGGTTGTCCAGTCGCGTATGAAAGTCCTGGGTTAGTGTGGACACGGGCTCATCGCCATTTTGCCTGTTACCACAAGATAAGAAGAGAAAATGACATAATAATGAAAATGATACGAGACATAACAAAGATATGGTTGAACTAATTTTAACTCCCTAATTAAATCAAGGTATACACAATAGCTTTAGGATTTCACTACCATCGAACTGCCACTTCGGCAACTGGGAAATAAACATGCAACCTATCTACCTAGCACCACAGCTGGTCAGTGAGATTCATAAAAGCCACACATAGCTTCAACAACCCCATAGTTTCAGTAGCATGGATTAAGCGCAGCAGACACTAAATGCTGAAATAAAACACCTGTGTTTTTTTTTTTTTTTATAGCATCTGCTCAGTGGTTCCCACAGCAGTTGTCATGCAGGCCATTTAAATTTTTTTCTTGGCATATTTTCACTCTCTATGTAACGCGTTCATTGTGTGCCCTTCTTCATCCTGTCAGAACTGCTTATGGAATCAAGGGCTACCACTGGAGAGGCCAGCGCTGCTGTCGCTGTGACCCAGTAAATGGCATAACGTGACTCGCCTCTGCCGTGGTCAGTGCAGTGAGCTTGGTTTCAACGCAGAGTCAGTTCATTTTCCAACTTATAGGTTTGTTTATATGCTCATTGCCACAGTACCAGATGCCTTCGAGTGAGCCTTAATTTAAGTGAGCCCGTTCAAAACATCACGGCACCAATACACTTCAATAATAAAACTGAAATTGGCGAAACAACTCGGCATTCATCCTTAGGTGTGCAGCTCACTCAGCGGCCACTCCTTTTTTTTTTTTTTTTTTGAGTGTGCGTGCATCGGCAAAGATTTTGTGTCTTGGATTGGAGTTAAAATGTACGGTATGCATGGCAGTGTACTTAGCAAATTTGTAGGCATAGAAATTGATTGGCTTTATTTGTACAAGGCTAGAAAGAATGATTCCCAAAGCATGGAATCAGAGCAACCATTCTGTTCAGCTTTTCTATGCTTAAATGAATGCATGATGCGGTATCTATTTTTTGACCTGGTGCGAGTTTTTGTGCATGCGCTAAAACTAAGAAGATGCATGTTCGATAACTTGCCGAGAAAAGGAAAGAATAACCCAGCATTTATTATCGCATGTGCAGCAAGCATTTTCGCGAAAATCGTTTTTGTACTGCGTTGGGGTTGATTTCTTAACATTGCGATATAGAACTTTCTGGAAATGTACACATTGATGTGCAATTTATCCCTGCTAGGCTGAGGGATCTTTTCCAGCTATCTGCAGCTCAGGGTGGCGACAATGATTTTGTCCTAATGCTATCATTTCGCGTTGCGTATTCGGGCGTCTCGTTTGCTAGCACCCATGGTGTGCTGGGCTGCTGGTAAACAAATTGGTTGATACCAGCGACCAGCAGAGTCATTCAAAACAATATAGAGTACGTAATTGTATTTAATAGTCGAGCAAACAATGTGAGCAGGTATGATTGCAACACTCGCACATCACATCAATCAATACACCTCGCACATAGAAGCGCGTGTAGCAATAGCAAGGATTAGGGAGACAAAGTATACGTGGGTGAAATTCCCCTTATTGAAATATATGCTAAAAGATCGTCCAGCAATAATTCTGGTGAAAGCAGCAGGCCGTACAAACCATGGTTGTTGTGAAGAGTAATGTTACTGCTGCAAAAAACTCTAGATACCCTTACGAAAGGTCAAGTGAATTCAACCAATGCCAAAGCATCCCCCGTTCCCTTCGGCCACGTGATACCTCTATGAAAACTATAGGGCGTGGTGTTGCCATGAATTCTGCACAGCAGTCCACCCTGATCAGAATGTTACTGTCCGGCCGTGCACTTTCCACGCAAAAGCATGAGGCAGGTGCGCGCTATCAACATAAATACTCGTGCAAAGTGAAAATGCTTTAATTTACAGATTACAGATTACTAGACAATTTTCACAACAACCCGCCTTTTACCAGAGCACCTCTTCACATTGTGCATCCATAGCGCCATGCGGATACCCTCCGTCGAAAGTGCGCGACGCAGCGAAGACCATACGTTGGCTCGCTAAAAATTCTTCTTAGGGAACACTCCAGATTGTTTCGCAGCTAATAAAAACGCAACCGATGCTTTCGAAGCGAAAACAGATATGGCAGACCAGCCTGAATCAGAGGAGTTGTTGAAAACATCGCACAACCGGTACCACCTGATGTTTTATACGTCACAGAAAAATTCTAGCAGATGACGCCATGGTATGTTCTCGCCCCCAATAGCCCAGCTGTACTTAGCTACTGGTTTCCCACTGCGAAAAAGGCAGCTCGTGAGCCTATGTACTGCTGCTTTCGGATGGAGCATAGAGCATAGTGGGAAACATTATTGGTTTCATTTCATTTGTCAGCATTAGGATACACTTACACAGCATTTTTTTAACTATGTCTATTTTGTTCATAAAGCACTCTTACAAGAAAAGAGAGTTGCACTGGAAACAACTTTGAAGCACAACAAGCAAGGACGGAAGAGAAGAGCGGACACAGTGGCGTATTAACTCTCACATAGAACCAACTCGTACCAACTCTTTCACCAGTGGGGGGGGGGGGGGGGGGGGCAAACTTGTCAATTGGGACACACACACACGCACGCGTGCACAAACACACGCACACTCACACACACACACACATATAAGGGAAAGAAGTATACCTAAGGGCTCGTTTTTCCGTGTTTTGACACAATATTAATCAGATCTAACAGACAGTAATGCCAAAGAATGTATAGAGGAAGTTATTAAAACCAATGGAACGCGTTATTCGAACGTCGTAGGTTCGATTCCTGCTCACGGCTGGTTATTTTTTCACGCACTTTTCTTTCTTCTTATTTAGATTCCATTGTTTCTAATAACTTCCCCTATACATTCCTTGGCATTACTGCCTGTTAGATCTCACATATATATATATATATATATATATATATATATATATATATATATATATATATATAGGCAAGAAAGAGACGACGAAGCTTTCGTAGAAGCGTCTTTACTAAACGTTTTCAGCTGGTGGACCAGCCTTCGTCAGAGTCCTCTCTGACGAAGGCTGGTCCACCAGCTGAAAACGTTTAGTAAAGACGCTTCTACGAAAGCTTCGTCGTCTCTTTCTTGCCTACAATACGTCGGGTCCAGCGTGAATGACGTTCAAAGAATCTGGTATACATATATATATATATATATATATATAAAGAGAGAACTTCATCGATGCAGCTGCTCTTTGTTGTGATTTTTATACACACAGCGCCTGTTCAGTAGCGTAAAAAAAAGGACATGTAGTCAGTTTTAAGGAGCATGCACTATATATGTGTGTCTTGTGACATGAGACGCTTTTTTTGCATTGCCTTGCAACTTTCCGCATGAATTCAATTATGCTTGTGGTGGCCTCCCCAACAGTACATATTTGCACCATTGAATGATTTTTTTATGACTAAAAGCAGCTCAAAAAGAGTGATATTTTAAATGCGGAGCAACCCTAGAGAACCAAAGGTGTTTTGAGTGTTTCTATTTACTTATCTAGATATCTGCTTAGCTACATCTGGGTACTCTCGTATTTGCCTCATAACTTTAGTACAGACCAAAATCGGCATTGGAGGGAAAGGGGGGACGACGCAGGGGTTTTGACACTCTTTCTTGCAGTCATGTGTGTCCCATACCCGTTGTGATGTGTTTGTGCACGTTTAAAAAGTGCGCAACTTCATCAGCCAGAAGAAGATGAAGGTAATGCTCGGTTGCGGCACGTGAACATTTTGGTCCAATGAGGTCCCACCATGGAGATTTCATGGCCCAATGGCTGGGTACCACGAAAGTAGAGAATCTCCAATCGGGACGAGACAAGTGGGCCAGAGCTGAAGCAGAAGCCTGAGCAGAGCAGATCAAGGAGAGTTCGAAGAAGACGGGGCAAGCGAAAGGTCGTCACCGGACCAGGCGCTGAAGATGAGCCGTCGGGCGTCGGACCCGAGCCTGCAGGACTTCAACCAGCCGGGGCCTCCTGTCGTCGTATTCCCGCAACTACAGGAAGGTGTGTTATAGGAAACGCTACAAGGTTTTAATTTTGCATTCTGATGAAAGAAACAAATATGCTGTTGGTCTGGTATGGGACGCTATCACCTGAGAGTCGTGTTCAAATAACCCGTTGATCCATCCGGATTTAGACCATATGGACAAGGACTTGCATAGTTTGTACATATGCTGGGTTTAAAACTTTACTTCACAAGAAGTGTGATTTTCTTAGTTTTGGGCAGGACGCTGTAGCGTGGCTGTGAACTGGACTTTCAGAAAATTTTGTCTGAACGTGCAAGGTATAATAAGTGGATTGATTGTAAGGTTGTAGTGAACGTTAGGCAGGATATGTGTTGTGTGTGGTGAAACGTGCACTTATCTGCAGTTTTTTAATAGCAGAAAAAAAATTTTCGAAAGGGGGGCTTTTGTAATGTGTTTGTGTGCACTTAAAAAGTGCGCCACTTCATCAGCCAGAAGAAGACGAGGATAACGCTCGGTTGTGGCACGTGTAGGCATGAACATTTAGGTCCAATGAGGTCTTTCCACGGAGATTTAGGAGAACCACTGGAGAGGAACAGCGAAGCTATAGGCAGACGTGGCCGAGTCGGGACTGAGTGAAGAAGGTGGCCAGGGCACGGGAGTGGCGGCCAGCAGAGCTCCTGCATCAAGGTTCCAGCAGTCTCCCACCTGGACACAGAGCTTTTTCTCCTCACCTGACGTGGGCCAGGCTTGTCTGGTCTTCTGGCGTTGGCCAAGAAACGTCTCCGGCTTCCTGTGCGAGCCGCGGCTGCCGAACGCCGAAAGGTCACTGACTTTGACAAGCCTGACGCTTCCTTACGTGCCAGTCAACGACATGAGCGTCTCCACCTATTCGCAAGTCTTTCCCCTGCTGCACGAGTGCGTCTTCACCATTACTCTGTCGCATCAGTTGCAAGCCCCGCATCACCGCTGTCATCGTTTGCGTGAGTGCATCCATGCCTTGGTAGCACAGCCTTCGCTGCAAGCAC